GTGGTATACGTCGGCTTGGGTGTGGTATACGTCGGCTTGGGTGTGGTATACGTCGGCTTGGGTGTGTTATACGTCGGCGTAGCCCATTGAACGCAGTCGATGCTCGTATGGAACTCCCAGCCATCCGTCGTGACGGTGTTCACAACAGTTACGCAGCGATCGCGCAGATCGCCGCACCGTTCCCAATCGGGTGTATGTTCCTCGTACCTGTCATAATCGGAGCCGAATCCGGGGGGAACATCCCAAAGAGCCTGTCTTTCGAATGGATCGGTTGGTTCGGCGGTTGCTTTGGTCGTTTCCGTCGGCGTTACAGCGTGCGGGTCGGGGTACTCCTTCGGGGGCTGGTTTATAGCTGCCTCCGCCGTCTGTACAGCTGCTGCCTCTGCCATTCCTATCCCCCACTGGCTGCATTGGACTCCCGTGTTCGAGTCTCCGGCCAGGTGCCTGGTGATTTCGCATAGTCAGCTTAGCTGCCCAGTCTCCGAATAGAACGCCTGAAGATCACCCCTCCGACAACTGACACTGCGTGTGTCCTCGACGCAGGTACCGTCAGGGGCAAGGCAGGGCAAAGGCAACGCTGTTGAGAACATACTTGACCATCGCGCTGAAGGGATCCGGCCCCCCGACCAGGTGAAGGGCGGCCGTGATAGTTACGAAACGGCTGGACCGCATCATGTATTGATGAGAACTTTTCTTGTACGCGACCTTACGTCTTTCTGTGGGGATAAGCGGAAGGAGGGTGTAAGAAGAGTAGGGAGCTTCGGTCTAGCAGGCTCGTTGGCCGTCCTTTATACCACGTTGAGAGAGTTCCATCTCACACGACATACTACAGCCAACACGAGGCAGCAGTCGACAAGATCCCATAAAGTTCTGTTTGTGGACATCAGGAGGATGGTTTGGTTGACGCCACATTTGCCTCGTCCTGGACCGACTGGGAATTTCAGTGTTAGTACAAGGCGCCTTAAGTGGCAAGGGAGGAAAGGCGCACGTATCCTAGAAACCTTGAAACTTTGTCTTGCACCTTCGTGTCTCAAGCCTTCGTACCTTAGTTGAGAAGTGCAAAAAATGTCGTTATCCATGAAGCCTCTCAAACTAAACCCGAGGTCTAGGTTCTCGATACTTTGTCCCCTATTTGCCTTTGCCGGTGGCACCGTAATGCTTCACTTTAATGGCGACTTGAGTAAACTTTGACTGGAAGAAGTAGGAAGCACGAGAATTCTAATTAGCACATTCCTCATTGAATCCCGGGACATGAACTTACTTCGCGTCTTTCAGCTGCGAGCCTGCGGGAGGACAATGAGTTCAATAGCGTGTGGTGGTAGAGATGCAGACGATTAATGACCACATGCGACGCAAGCCACTACGACAGAAACTTGAACAGAAAAGAACAGAGCCTCGCACTTACTGGGTGGCAAAGCATACTGAGTAAAACGAAGCCACATTCATATCACGATATCCCCCCCGCATCGTCCGAAGCCGGGACGGGGAGAAGCGGCCTCGGGAGAAGGAGGCAGATCGTTCCCTCACCTCTCAGATTAGGAGTAGACGGTCTTTGCGTCAACTCAAGTTCTCTCCGTGCACGAGAATCCGCTTCCTGTTCTCTTCAAGGGTATCATTATTTGCCTCGCATGGAGTAATACGGAGCACATGCCGGTAACTCGTTTATGTCACACGGTAAACACTGCTCCACGGTCAGCTAAGAAGAGCCCCGCAACATCTCCCAAGACACGATATCGTGTTAGTTGGAAGGCAGGCAACATGAGGGGTGGATCGTACTCAATCACAAGCCACTCTCCCCGCCACATCCAGCTGCCCACCCATACGCCCAGGTTTACCTTGCTCGCGTATCGCTCGTCCGCCGACGTGAGGTTGATGACCATCCTGTGTCTTTCCGGCGCTAGCGCCCCTGCTGCGTCCTTAAAACCACCTGGTACTGCGGTGGGGTCCATGTAGCCGCTGCCGTGCATCTCTAATCTGGCACAGTTTTCATTTTTGTCAGCGAAACCCGCCCTTTAGACGTAGAGTAGACGCGACAAGGCTGTGAACCCGCAAAGAGATGTGAGGATGAAAGCAAAACGAGACTGGGCAGGGGGAAAGGGGGAAAGTGCGAACAGGGCGGGCGGCTCATCCTCGGTCCGAAACTTCAACATGGTATCTACGCGGCAGGTTTCCCGACGCTGGAGGCGCGATCTCGTTCGTTCGTGACCTTGGGCGTAGCCACCAGCCTGAAATGTGTGAATAAGAAGAGAAGAATAAAGTTGTCAGCCACAGGCTCTCATAGGTGGAGTCATGAACATAGCTCGGAGGTTCTCTCCGGGAATTCCCCCCGGCCCTTACCACGACAGTCCCGATTCCCAGCGAGCCCGACCAAGTCCCTCGCGAGACGGTCCAGAGTTCCGTGGCGCCCATATCGGGGACGTCCACCGTGGTGGCTTCTGTCTCAAAGTGTGTGGCCACTCGGAAGCTAAAGTCCAGCCAAGGCGGAGGCAAAGTTTTGGACACGGGAGTATGGCACAGAGGAGGATGCTTCGACGCCGAGGAGTGTGTGCCAGGACTGTTCTGCCTTCTCATGGCGTTGTCTTCCCCCATGCTATGAACTGTCGTCAGTGAGGTGAGACGGAGAAATACTGACGATATAAGTGGAGGTCGATGTGAATTAAAGAGCCGGGATATAAACAAAAGAACAAAAAAAAAAGGAGAGAAAAAGAAGAAGAAGAAAAAAAACCCCATCACTGTAATTGACGTCCGCTTTTGATTCATACCTCAGTCGATCCTCGATCCTCGATCCCCTGCTGCTAGGCGACAGCTCTGGCGCCGGCGTCGCCCAGCCTTCATGCTGCCATGCCCGTGCTGCCTCGGGTAACTTGTCAAAGTCGGTACGTGTCAGGATCCAGCTGGCATCCCAGTCGGTCGAGTCTAGCCATGCGCCAGGGGCCGAGCCCAGACTCAAGCCCACGGCGTCACTGCTTCCAACCGGGTGGATGAGTTTGTGAATTTCCATCAAGGCGATGACCGTGTGCTATACTGCTCTCGCTTGTCATCCACCTAGGAGTTGAAATGTCGGCCGAGTTGATACTACGTCGTCGTGCCTTGCCTTTTCTTCTCCGTGGTCCCCCCGAGAATGATGGGTATCGCCAATTAAACTGACAGAGCTATGCTATGGCACCCCCTGGGTTCAAGCAAGCCTGATGAAGGATACAATTACTCCGAGACAAGCGGCACGAGGGGAAGTAAAGTGGGAGGATCGTGCGTGCGGACGGGCAAAGATGTATGCTGGTCAAAGCAAGCTAAGCTCCCACTTCCGCAAACAAATCCACAATCAGGGGAATGATAATAATTTCTGCATTGCACCGGGAAGCCCTCGTTGTCCGCGGTTGGTCGAACACGAACACAGACCCAACAGAACAAGGCCGATCGAACGGCGGACTGATCGGAGATAAGCACTTGTAAGACCGAAAGGGGCAACTGCAGCAGTCCGTACGTACGGAGTTCACAGGTGACGAAATGGCAGGTCGGACGGGCTATCCTATCCCTTCACATTCCGAGTCCATTGACTTGCGAAGCCAATGAGCCTGCATCATGTTCGTGTAATCGTGAACTGATATGTCAGCAGGCGTTTCCTCCGATCGACCGCATCGCGTAGTGGACAATGTCGAACCGTCGCCCGAGTCTTCCGCGCCCCTGTTCTGTAACGGCTCATGCCAAGTGATGCGGAAAGTACAGAGTACGGAGTATAAGGAGAAGACTAGCAGTGTGGAGGGCCACCTCGGAGGTTTCCTTCTTGGCCTTTTCCGGATTTTGGACGATACAGATACATCAATATGCCTTTTCCAGGGCATATGCACTTTCTTTTTTCCAGTCGCTCCATATTCGTACCATCCATGATTCATCAATTGTGACAGTTATCGCCCTTGGCATCCGTGGAATGCCTTCAAGGCGCTTAAAAAAAAAAGAATCGCAGCCTATCCTTCACATAAGTGACGGGGAAATCATCTGCCGAAGAGAACCGAACCTGCCATTCATTGGCTGTCAAATCAAGACGGCTCGAAAAGTTGAATGAAGATCCTCCCTCCCCCAGGGAGGTTGGAGGGCCTCGAAGAGAAAGATCGTGCAGCACGACCATGCGTAAAGTACAGCGAGAAGCGAAGATGAAAATTGCCTTGTCCAGGTTCCGGTCAACGTCCTCCGTCAGGCGCAGCCAGCTCCCCGGTGGCGGTTCACAACTGAAGAAGAAAAAACAAATCCAGGTAAGTTTGGTGACTGCATGTCCAACTGAGAAATGCAATCGCGGGATTCATCCAGAGAAGGTTGGATACGGCCCAGGTGCTTAGGCGAATACAGTGGCCTGGCCGCCAGGAGGAAGCACGTTCTCAGCGAAACGACCTCGCATATTGCCTAATGACAGTCAGCATTCGAATATTCCCAGGTCTTTTTTTTGGGGGGGGGGGGGGGGGGCTGAGCGCTGGGCGGGCAAGCTATGAAGGCCAAAGCCAAAAACATACCAGCTGGGTAGTAGTTGCAGACAGAGTACCAGACGCCAACGTTGTTGTCAATGGTACCGGCCTGGCAGTAGTGGACGGCACAGCCAACAGTAGTAGTGTCGACCCAGACGACTTGGCTGAAGTGGCCCCATTTGTCGAAGTTGGTCATGTCGGGCTCGTTGCCATAGAACCGGGAAGAATATTTATTCAACTCTCCGTTGTACCACTGAGTGGTCGTCGCCTTCTTAATGGCCGCGGGGGCACCGAGCCTATCCCCGTCGGTAGCTCCCCAAAAGGCAAGGTTCTGTCCATAGCCACCACCACCGGGAGTCCTGTCACTGTTGTCAGCGGTCTTGCATTCTTTTGAAATCAAGATATGGAGCGGACGCCTACTCACAAGTCGTGGGCAAAAACGCAGGACCTGGCTGTCTGAAGGGCATAGCTGGCATAGTCGCTGCCCCAGGTCAAGGCAGGAGCGGAGTGGTTGAGGCGGTGAATGTTGTGAGAGAACAGAGCCGCCTCCTGTAGGTCGTTCGTCGTAGGGGGCGAAGGTGCGGATGGAGGCTGGGGCTGAGGGGCAGGGTCCGGTTGGCGTTCGGGTTCCGGTTCAGGTTCAGGTTCGGTCTCCGGCTCGGGCTGGGGCTGCGGGTTGGGGGCCGGAGCAGGAGCAGGAGCCGGAGCCGGAGCCGGAGCCGGGTTCGGCGAAGGACTCGGAGCCACCGTCACAGTCGAGAAGATAGGCGTGGGAATATCGTCCTCGGAATCGTTGGGCTTCTCGCCCAAAAGTTGGCCGGGGTAGGGAGTGGGCTCCTGGCCAGCAGTGACCGTGACAGTGACATACTTGACATCCCAGACTGTTTCCATGGCACGCTTATCGATAGCAGCACCCAAGGCCAGGACGGCGCTGGCGGCAGCGAGGAAAACCGAGTTCTTCATGTTGACGGTATTCCTTCCGTGTGGCCTAAGAGAAAATGTGTCTAAGAAAGTTAGCTTCGCCTGCGAAGTTTGGTTGAAGCGAATTCATATGGATTGGAAAAGGCGACAGAGTTCAAAAAGAGATCATTCATGCGAAAGAGAAATCCACAGAGAAAAGTGAACTGGGATACGCCATAAGTAGGTAGCCATGAGGGCTCCGACAGGGCAACGCACATTCCCACTGCTTCCAGGGACAAGTCGTGGGAGTAAGACATGACGGCGTAGTGTGTCCCATGGAGAGACTAGATGTCCTTCGAACGCAGTTGTGGGGTCCCAATTGGTTGTGAACAATGCGTTTGTACAAAAAAGAAGAATGCTGCGACCCTTTGCCGCAAGCAATGCTCGACTGCCACGTGTATCTGGCATGCTGGTGTGCGATTTGTGAGGGGAGATGTGTATGGGAGGGAGAACACGGAAAACTCAAGGAACAATAAGTTGGAAATTGGCACGGGAGGGATAGATATTGGAGCATCGAAACATCGAAACATGTAGGTGCGAACGCGAAACAGACGATAAGCCGGACATTTGCGCTCCTAGAATCGCACCTACCTTATTGACTCCTGATTTTCGTCTTGCTCTCGGAGTCGAGTTCTTCGTTACAGCACTGCTGATGGTTCCGTCAAGGACCTTGGGGCGAAATTCCGACACAATGAGTCGAGGGGGGGAGTGTGAAGGAGTGAGAAGTCCGAGAAGGAGTGAAATGTGATAAGAGTGAGTCGTGGCTCTTTTCGTGGGTTCGGACAGCGCAATAAAAGAATAAAAAATCAAAGGAAAGAACGTGTCGCCGAGACGAACACTGAGAAGGAGTGGAAGGAGGAAAAAGGTGGTTGTCAAAGGAGTGGACTGAGGTCGGATAGACAGGTCTCTTCAAGAGATGGAGAAGGAGAAACAGGAGTATAAGAGGGGAAACAAGGGAGCAGGAAGGGACGGACGTCGGGCTAAAAAGCATCGGTCAGTGGCACCTGCTTGGCGGGTTTCTAGGTGCTGGCGTTGCTGTGCATGGCATGGGAAGGGGCATCTGGGGGAGATGAGGGACAAGCCTACGGTGTCCGCGATCCCTGCCCTTGACACCTTCCATCTCTGTACTAATTATGGCAGGTACCACATCTACGGAGTGCGGAGTGCGGCAGTACGAAGGATATAGGGGTTAGCCGTTGTCAGAATGGGAAATACCCAAGGAGGAGGTTAAATGTCAAGAGACGGCGCCCAAGAAGCAAGTCGTATCGGACTTTGTAGAATCGGTCGTGTGAAAATGAGACGCACCACATTATAAACTCTTTCTCCTTCCGGAGTAGGGTCCTGTGATCCATTGTGAAGGGCCCTTTTACTTTGTAGACATGGACGGGAGGAGCCAGTCTGCGACCGACCCCTTAAGGGTGGGGCGGCTGCAAAAGCGGTTCCTGACGCCAATCACAGCTACCGCCAATCTTTTCCCGAAACGGCCCCCTAAGATCTGGTACCTTGCAGGAGCATCCAGCGCTGGTGCCATCTTCGAAAGATTTACTACAGGGATGCGTCATACTGATTGCGGAAATCCTGAGAATTTCAGTGGTTCTGCGACGCCGGTCCTAAACGTCTCCGACCCACTAACGGAGCACCCACTTATTCTGAAACGATCCTAATTTCAACGGACAAGATTATGGATATACTTGCAAAATCGGTCCTCTAACTCACATATGAGGTTGTCCTCCCTCATCTATTACTGCATATTTGGTAACTACCGAGGTGTTTTTGGCGCCGTACATAGGCACAACCCTCTTTTCTGCATTCTCGGGGTCCAGTGGTTCAACAGAGAGGCGGTCGCCCCTACGGACAACGTAAAGGCCTCGGTCATACAACTTTGTATGATTTTGGCATGTGCCCAGCCCGATTTGAATTTGAACCAGAGAACAGCGCCGTGCCTCGGACATGGATCGTGGATGAATAAGCTCGGTGACAATCATCCTTGACCCCAAGTCACATAACTGGCAGATATCTGGAGTAGGAGAGAGCGTTCGGTGGCCCGGTGTTGGGACAATCAATAATGTCAATTGAATTCCGCACTCGATCCGAAATCAGGCATGCGAAAATATAAAGCTACCTACCTACCCTAGAAATGCGGCGCTATCTTTCAACATTGCAATCGATATCCATATCAACTATTAGCTCATTGTTATCTCCACGATGAAGAAGTTGGAACTACATAAATTTCTATTTCAGATGCCTTCCCATGATCCCCCCGTTGCCTGTGGTCCGACCCGTGAGCCCAGCAAGCCCATCACATCGACTAATCAAGGGCAGCAGTCCTGAGGCCCCCTGTGGATTCCATTTGCCAAATCGATATTGCTCTCAAAGACGACACAGTAGTACTCGATACTGAAAATGACCGGACATCCCTGGGCTCAAACGAACGTTGTTGTCCCTTACAGATATCCATTGTGAATGGTTTTTTACTATACGTGGAACGATGTCTCAGGGCGTCCCACTATCACAGCTATAAGCTTCCTCTTCTCCGGGGAGAAACTTCACCAGTCCTGCAATCAATGTTGACTGATTAAGGCGTCGAGATACGACGAGCCCTCGTGACAAGCTTACTATGACCGTATGAATACATAGCCACCATCGGTGAGCGGCCAGCATCACCGGACTCGAGACTGGCGGGTTGGAATGGCCGGAGGGGCATATCAGAATTGCGTCTGTCAATTAAAGTATGACTGTCCATCCTGCTGATTTACATCAGAGACTTTGGCCAGAGTATGTCGCAACACTGGTAATAATACAGGCAGGACAATATCATAGACATGTTTTCTCTAGCTATCCCTCTGCCCCTTTCGTCTGCCCTTCCGGTTAATCCCGTCAGTAGCAGGTAGATATGCCAATCCGTTTCTATCACATTCTATCACATAAGCCACGGTATAGTGCTCTCCTATTAGTTAGAGGTGCCCCACTATCCTCGCTTAGAAGGTGGCAGATATATTTAGGACACGTATACCCGCCCCCTTTTTCTTTCTCTTTTATAGATAATACAATCATACATTTCCTGAATCAACGCTCCCTGTAAGCACGCTCCCGTTAATTTAATAGTTATAAGCCCGGGTAGTAGCAGTAACCAGTAACTTCCTACTAATCTATTATCTACGTTGATTTTTATATACTTCTATAGTATTACGGAGCCCTCCTATGCTCTCTCTCCTAATAATAAGCTTTTATTCGCTAAACCCTTACTCGACACTATATCGAATAAGCTCGAGATCACGGCTAAAGCGCTTGGCATCCCGCGCCTTAAATCCACGCGGTAATAGGCCGATTAGATCTTCTATATCCAGTCGTATACGTAAGGGATAGAGGTCTAGGCACTACTTGATCCTAGCTAAAAGGATAAGCCAGATAACTGTCCTAAGTATATTATACCTAAATCCCTGGATTAACTACGCGAATAGTATTCCTAAGGCGAGGGCGACGATATTATCGTGCCCTCGACGTAGGAGCTTATACGCCTCGCCGAAATCGAGAATTAGCAGACTATAGCCCAGAATTAAAAGCTCGGTCGCCTTATTAAGGCGCTAGATAAGGCTAATTAACTACTTAAAACCACCGTGGAGACCTCTACCTATTAACAGGCTATCGAAGAGGCTATTAAAAAATATCCTGGCTACAATAAGGAAAAATAAAATAGACACTTTACGTTACGCCACGTAATAAAAGAACTTAAGAGTAGCTTCGCTCTAAGCAGTATTTACACGAAGGAAGAGGTAAGACGAGTATACGAAAAGTATCTATAAGACGCTCGTTAAGCTAACACTAAAGTGGCTATATAGTATACGGAGTAGAATACCCTTATTAGACGCGTATATTAGTAAAAGGTAGCCGAGATTAAAGGACCCACTACTATTCGGAACTTCTTTATAGTAGTTAGATAGAAGTTTACGCCTATTTAGGCAGAAACTAAGCTTTAGGAGCTAGTGATAAAAGAGGTCCGCGGCGATAAGATTTCCGATCTTCTAATATACGGCCGCGAGTTTAACGCTATTATAAGCGCTTTAACCACGGACGGCACGCGCTATAGCGTTTACGCGACCCTAAGAGACCGCTTAGATAATAACGAAGGCGGAAAGAAGCCTAAGAAGAAGAGCACTAATTACCCCTATTAACGCGAATATACTTAGAAGCCAGAGCACTATAATAAGCTAGAGTATACTCTAACCGGAAAATACGAGTAGAGATCTAACACCTACGTTAACGATAAGTGGTATAAGGAGATACGGAAGGAGATTAAGCTCCTAAAGTGGAAAAGCTTACGCGAAAAACTATTAAAAAAGGGATAGGAAAGCTCGGAGAGCGGTAATAGTAAGGGTGGGGGTAGGTATCCTAGGAAGGTTATTATAACTATCCTGGATCCCGCCCTTATCTATATTATAGAAGAGGTCCCTAGGATTTATACCGCGCTCCGACTAGGCCCCTACCCGCTCTTATAGAGTACTCTTCTTAATACTTATAGCGTAACTTACCTTATTAACTTAATTAACCTGCTTATTCTAGGTTCCTTCGTTCTTATAAAGGGATCTATCGAATCCGGTATAACCGACTTTCCGATTATTAGCAAAGGTAAACGGCTTTTTAAGAGAATCCTTAATAGACCTCTAAGTGCTCCGAAAGCTAACTTAGAGCTTAACGATATAGTCGTTATAGAGGGATTTAACACGAATATTATATCGGAAGCTTTATTATATAAGGTTAGGATCTAGTATTCGGGATATAACTACTTATTACGCTTTAGAATAGCGGAGAAGAGCGTGGTCTTATTAAAGCTGCTTCGATGCTTTAATATAACTATCCTTTAGTATAAGCTAATTTTATCTTCTTCTTCTTATTCGTTACTCTAACCGATACTACGTGGTGTTATTCCGATT